GGCTAGATGGTGAGTCACGCCTTCCAAAGTATCGATGGAAGAGGGAATAGCGAATGCAATGAAATTGGTGGTTTCACAGGCGACCTCAGTTTATGGCTTTGTGCAACCCTATAGCCTTTCCTTACCTCCCCTAGCCTTCCTTGGTCATCACTGGACTAGTTTAACAGACCCACCTCGGTAACTCAGGGAGGCTGTTGACATGAAGGAGTGAAAGCAATTAAATTCACCGTTTACCTACCAGACCACATGGTCAAGCAGTACAGATAGAAGTTGGTGATGCCTCATTTAGTGTACCATAAAGGTGGACATTTATTGCCATCACTAAATTCGGCAGTTTTGAGGCCTGGCGGTGGCGACTGATGTCGACCCCACTGCCACTACCACCTCTACAGTTGTAAAATAAGTCTAAATGTGCCAACTACACGGTTAAACCGACCAATACGTGATGTGAGAGCCGAGGATTTGCAGTTCATCACAGCATTTGGAACCCATTGGTTTCCCTTGGCACGGTTTCCTTCTATTCTCTGCATTAACGAGTGAAAACGAGGCCATAAGAATGAAGCTTGTAGGCCACTAGCTATAGTTTCTGATTGTTGCCCATTCGCTGTCCCAATTCACAGCTCTTTAACAAAGACTTCAGCCAGTTGGCATAATATAGGTGTACTACGTTAAATACTTTTAAATTTAGCGTGAGCATCTGAATATACATTTAGCTATATTTTTTGTCATTATAATCAGAATCCTCAAAACCTATTAACTGTGCGTTTACAACGTTTGTCCTGCTGTAATCAGAGTGCTGAACTCTTCCCATCTATTGTCGCCAGATTTGAAAAGCATCAAAGGTGGTTGCACCTACTGTTTATGCTCAAGAACTCAATGGAGATTAAGCAAGATGCAGGTGGCTCACATTTGGTCATTCACATTTTCATCCACTTTCTACAGTAGTCTGGATAATTGTCATGCTTTCAAAGGACGGCATAAAAGTGTGGTGCCGCCATTACTCCTCTGTGGAACGGAGGCAGCTATACAAGCGCATGTCTCTTGAAACCAGCCTCGCAACACGTCTTATCCGCCAATAATCCTTTCTGATGAGGTACCCAGTGTCTCCTTCCATCTGCTTAAGCCTTCTTATATAACTGCTTAGGTAGCATTTTTGCTGCCCATAAAAACGCACCATGGAACGCAAGAAAGAAACGGAAAAAAATCCCTCACATGGTGCGACACACAGTTGTCATTGAGATTTATAACTGGAAACTCGATGTTGGAGTACTTTAAGGCATTCTAATGTGGGCTTAATTACGTAAGTTGCGATTCCTTTGTTTTTTTGCAACCACTAATCTCGGCACCTTAGGGAACTAAAAAATGCGCTGTTTGTGAGGAATGCCTTAGCAGAAGGGAAAAGATGCAAAGTACGCAATTGGTGAGCGTTCCCAGGCAGGAGGGCAACCACATGCAAGCGTCTCCTTAGCAAACTGCGCCTCGTAAGAGGTCCAACAACGCCATTGAAAAGCCATGCTTAGCCATCCTGCCTCGAAACTTCCCAGACAATCCCATCTGAAGTTACACATCAGATGAAGTTCTAAATGAAAATAAACTTTGCTGACAAGGCCTTGCATCTTCACTTTAATGCCGTTGATCAAGTATAAAGGTTATGCAAACTTTGAGCACATTGAGAGCACAATCCTTGCAGTTTTTGTCTTAGTACAGAGGATGTTCCACTTGCGTAAAACACTGCCAGATGTCCAGACCTTTCAGATGTAGCAAACCTCTACTATGCCAAAAATGGGCCCGTTTCTGGGAATTGGAATTACTGAATCAGTAGTAGCATTTCGACCAACATCACACGTCAGACAAATAAACGGTTGCTGCGCTGACTAACGCCAAACTCACACAGACGTGCGAAAAAAACCTGCACGAATTCTGTCTAGATTTCCCCAGGCTTTTTGCCAGGGAAAGAGTAGCAAAACATCGGGAAAAGTGGGGAGATAAGGAGTGACTCAGAGACGGTAAGATGCAGAAGGGCGAAGAGAGAGAGCACAGAGATGCGACTGGGTCCGAGAACAAATAGAGATCCAATCCAATCGGAAACAATACACATCACCTCTACACACATCCAAAAATGCTCTGCCATTTATTCAGAGTTATTACTCTGTCGTTTAACCTCTAAATGCACAGCAGCTTTGAGGAAGGAGACGGACTGGTGCCACTTCCCATGACACATGAGGAAATTTCCACCAGCTCCTCTGGTCTTCCCAACTTTTTCTTTACCCCTCCCCAAGTCTGCCCCCTAGTCCAGTACAACTGACGGGTAAGACGTCTGCCAAAATAATTAGAAGGAAGACATGACAGATGGCCACACGCACTCATGCACAAACATACCCGCTTCAGGTACAAAGGGTGGGACCACAATGCTAAGAGCGCATGGACAGTCTGATGTATCAATTCGTGCATTCTAATAAATGATTTTGGTATTTAACACAGCTGTTCAACCATCCGTGTCTGAAAAGGAGCAACTCAAACATTAGCACTCGCATGCTGTCCCCATTGACACAATCTACTAAAATTTGGTAGTCAGATTTGGTCTAGCATTATTTTGAAATTATGCCACTATTTGTAAAAGTCCAACTCATCATCCGTTGCAAATCGAGCTGTTTTCATGCAAAAAAACCAAGTTGACAAAATTTTTCCTCAACTTTAAGGCCCATAGTCGTTCCGCTCCGTTTTACTTATTAGCACGCACCATTACAACTGACACCACCCAAACACGTTGAGTGCACCAAAAGTTTGGCCGCTGTCCTCTTTGCTCGAAGTTTTGTCTGAGGCAAAATGAGTATAAAACTTTGCGAAAAACGGAACTCATCAAGAGGATGGTAATGCGAAAAAGGATTTCGATAGCCACTATGTGCACAGCTAGAGAAATGCCGGTTTTCTGTTCAACAGTGTCACCATAACAAAAGGCGAGTTTTTTAGCTTACACTAATTTTCGTAAACAGCGCACCGATGGAAAAATACCCTTACTGGTCCATCAACTTTATCTACTTTCATGGAACAGTAACTAATCCTGGCTAGTGCATCTAAGAAAGGAATCGAAGTTCTTAAAACGCTAATTTGCATGGCCTGAAGAGAGGTAAACGTATAGGTAAGCCAGTGAGAAGTTAGCTCAAGGTCTTTGCAGTGTCAAAAAAAGTGGTGACAACGACGCATGGGGCGAAAAGTAGTGCAACAAAGTTAGTCCAAAAATCCCAATTGCAAGAGACTCGAGGCATCGCGTCAGCACGCAGGGGATGTCACTGAGGCCTGGCAGCTCGGATGGCAGGCGGACCGAAGGCAGCGCAGCACAGTGTACATCCGCAAGTAAGCGCAAATGCGAACGTGTACAAACAAGGTGGCTGCTAAGTGGAGCTGAAGCGGCCAGACACCGTCCATCCGTACCCCCTCTGGCCTGTGTCTCGAGGCCTAGACACAAGCCGGGGAGGAGGAACAAATGGTTGATAAATGGCATTTTATGCAGCGGGCCACGGGCATAAACTCAATATTCCGGAGTTGAGGCGTGTCCCACAAACTGACTTAATTACTGTCTCGGAAGTTGAACAAAACCTTTCAACCATATTGTTAACATTCTAGCATCTTTGACAATTGTCATGCGAATGGCAAATTATTAAGAGCTCCTCCACAATGCCTATTTGCCATTTTGCATACCTTTTTGCGGATATTGATAAATTTATGCAAACAAGTTGAAAGTCGAATATGCCGTTGCATTTTGTTTGTGGGGCTCGAAACATTAAACTACTTTACTTCTAACAGATGGTTCATGAGCATTGTGGAGGAGGAATTGGGGGATCAGAAAGGGACTCACATTAAAGTCACCTCGTAGCGGAGGTGAAAATATTCACATCCTCTGCACAAAGACTGGCGTTCAAACCCTTCCTTAATAAAAAATATCAATGGTTGTTTCATTAAAGGTTGGGTGAATCATCCCACGGAGCAATCGTTAAGGTGGACAACCACCTCACCTGAGACTTAAATAGCAGATGTTAAACATAGTGGAGAAGTTGTTGACTGCATGGGAAAATAACAATCTCTTTTGTTCTCCTGTGGACAGTAATTAGGTGTGTCAACCGCCATGACCGACAGCGTTTGAGCTTGGGCGCGCAAACACGAAATTAAACGCTGACGAGAATTTGTCAGTGGAGGCAAATCAATGCGGTTCTCGTGATCGCGCTTAGCTTTGGAGGGACGACTCTTAAAATCAGCTCAAATAGAATGCCAATATACGCTTTTAAAAAGCTTTTAAAAATCATACTGTCAAAGTTCCCCCTTCATAAAACGAATTAAGTAGGCTGCTCAGCCTGGAGTTCTACTTTTACTACCTCCTTTTGCAAATCAAATTCTCATCCTCCCTTTTGTCTAAAACAATACTCCCTATATCAGAACAGCCAGATGACACGTGGTTCTCACGTCACAATGATAAACGCTCATAAAATAAAAGCACTAGTCTGAAGTCTCGGGTGTCCGATAGCCAAAATTTCAGTTATCAACGCAAAAACTTACTGATATCGGGTCTGAAAGGTACACGTGAAACTGAATTGACCACCAAAGGCTATAATAAGGTGATAATGAAGTAATAGAAGGTGTAAGGTAGCAACAAGGCAACCACAGGCCTCAAATATTTCATTAAGGCGAAACTACCACCAACAGATCAACTCTGCACATCGTTTTCTACAAGAACACATCATTTTATTTTCCACTTGAAGTCGTCATTAATGTAAAGCGCAATTAACTTTCCCTTTGTCACTATATAAAAGTAACATAAGGGTGGTGAAAGGGATTATTGTGAATTAAGTCATGCACTCATGGTCTGGGCTCTCAAATACAGTCTAGATCAAAGTGAGCCAGCTTTGAGAAAGAATAAATATAGCACACGCCACGGCTGAAAGACTTAAAATAGGCACTAAGCTATATTCAGCTAGGAGAGTCACATATTAAGTAATATGCGTTATTCAAGGGTAAATTGGTCTCACGTCTTCTCCTGATGGAAGGCCTTTGGAGTTGGCGTGGTGAGAAGCTCTGGAGCCAGCACAATTGATCTTCTCGACCAGACTGGACGGCATAGGAGGCAGGCTGCTGCGCAAGAGGCAGCCAAAGTGATACCTGGTTGGTGAGGGAGGTGGAGGCAATGGGCGCAGTGCATAATTAGCGGAGAGCGGTCGGCCGGGGACCTCTTCTGCAATCCCTACTTCGGGTGCCACGGATGAGGAGTGGGCGCTGCGACTACGATGACTGCTGCCACTACTACTGGGTTTGCGGTGACCGTGTGGATGAGCTCCCAACCGAGCACGTTCCTCCTCGCTCCTGCTCAATCCCCGATGACGGCTGGACATTCTTCATGGAAATGGCGCGTTATAAGTTCATTTTAACGCAGCATGAGTTTACATGCTGATGCCTTACTTTTGTTCCGAGCTATCGGTAAACACGTTCGGTTTAGTGTCTTTCAATAGTACAAGACTTGATCGTAGGTGATTCTGTGAATAGTGGAATTGCAGCGATCCAAAAGGCAAAATTGAAACACTTTCTACTAGCACCGATGAATTTAGACGGAAGCGCTGCTGTAAAAAAACCCTTAAGCCACTGTTTGTTCGGGCGTTTTCTTTACTTAAATGTCTCATAAGCTACGTAAGGCAGAGACTTTCCCATAGCGCTTGAGGTCACCACCCTCGCGTATGCCACACCTAAGTCGGAGATGTCGACAATTAAAAATCAGTTTCAATGGAATTATTCCTTAGAGGAGCCGCGTTTATTTTCAGGTTCCCACAGGATACAATGCAACAGACATTAAACAGCTGAAACAGTGCCTCAAGCAACAAAGCAAGACGTTGGCAACTACGTGTCTTTGTGGTCGTAAAACTCATGTCATCATACCACTCGGATTCCCGGTACAACAACAAATTTTCCCACCAAAAGACTACTATAAGCAATCTGATAGGCACATGTGCTGGCAATCTGAGTGAGGAGGCGTGGCTCTTCGGCTTCCTTAGTTTGCATATAAAAATAGGCTCATTTGGAGGCGTAAAATTGTAAGATGCTGTACTCAGAGAGGACCCAAAGTTGACGTCCAGTTTATCATCCTTGGTTACATCTGGTTCGAACAGTTTATTATTCGTAATGAATCACACCTTTAGACGACTAAACCTGCAGCCACATTTTGCCAAATGCCAGTATTAGAAATCCAATTCAATGGGAAATGTGCTACAGCGTTGATGCAGTGGACAAGAATGTCTTGCGTGCCCCAAGCTTGAAAATCACCCACTTTTTGGGATATTTCCAAATCATCCTAAGAACGGGTCCCGACCCTCCAAAAGGAGGTCAAATGAATAACTGACCTATCGAATCAGGTGAAGCGAAGGCGATCCAAATATATGCACACACATTTGGACTGGTGAGGTGATAAATCAGATTTGTACGAGCCACGAAAAGCTAAAACGAGCAACTGACGCTGGCGTGTGTGCACACTCGGGAATGGGACATGAACCTGTGCCATAAAGAAGGTCCTGTCCATGAACCAGTGACATACCACAATGAATCACCTTCGATAACCTTCTCATCAACAACTCTGATTTACATGCATTGCAAGGAAAGCGCACCCACAAGTAAATCTTCCATCCCACATGCCAGGCTTCCCTCTCGGTAATAGCTGGGACACAATGGATTTATTTACGTGTTCGAAAGGCAGTGCGTTTCTTTTGGATCACAATTGCTGCCATTCGCGAGCCAAAGGGCCCACTCGAGGAGATAAATGGTAACAAAATTATCATGATACTGACTGCAAAAACATCAAACGCAAGTGCTTTAAACGCAATTGTCGACCTCTCCATAAACGCATTGCAATGGCAAAGATGGAAAGTTGGATGTTTGGAGCGCTTAGACGCATGACTGTAAGTGCAAAGTTCACCTTAAGAGGGATTACAAACACAACCGACGTAAATGGTGAAAAAACTCCTCGCTACGTACTGCTGATGATGATTATTTCAAAATCCAATTGCTCACAAATGGTTGCGAAACTAAGTCTTATCTTGGCTAGATGTGTTGAGCCATTGAATACGCACCACTCCTTTGGTTTACACTAGGCGATGGCGCACCAACCTGTAAAGTCCCACAAAGTGTTGTCAAGAACTCACAGTGTTTGAAGCCTTGTGTGAGGAATGTATGGAAAAGTTTAAGAAGTGGCAAGTTGAACGAATCTGGCTTAAGTTGAGTGCAGGCTATTGTTCGTGAAGATGAATGAATGGAAAGAGTGAGGGCGGAAGTCCAATGAAAATAAGTCAGCAGCAGCGAATGCCACAGCATCACTGAGGTGGGCGAAACACACTAAGACTTATCGTCATGAGGTGCCCCTTTGATGGAGGCAGTCACGTATTGTCCAAAGAAAGGAGGGGACAGCTTTGAAGTTAGGCTGGAGGGAAAGAAAGGGAGAACAGTGCACAGCACAAAAGGATGAGGACAGTTGAAAGGGGAAAATTATTGCCAGAGGACTTGACAGTGGTTATGAGTGAACAAGAAAAAGTCAACGGAATAAGAAGACTAATTTATTATTCATGTGAGTCATTGGCAGAGGCCAAATTAATCACCCCGTTGAACAAATTAGATTTCTAAGCTGTCCTCTGCTAGGTACAGGAAGGCCATCTCGAACCAATTTGAATCATTAAAGTTGTGGTTCAGAGGCTTCGTATGAGCAAGTCTTAACTATCCTCACTTTCATCGATGATTAACATTATTTTCCTGATGTCTTCATGCGATGGCAAATTGTCTTGAACTATGGGGTCGGTGTAGGAGAACGGGGTTTGGCGGTGGCTAAACTTAAGGGTAAAACGTTTGCGCTAAATCATGCAATACGAGATCATTGGCAATAAAAGTGTGATTGCGCACTCCGACTGTTTAGTTGAAAGAGGCAGAAACGATAGGAGAAGTGAAGCAGAGAATAGTGACAATGCGTACAAAAGTTGCAACTTACAGAGTCCACAGAAAATACTGCATAACGGAGATGTCTCTGACCGCACAACAGGCTTACAGTTGGAAAAATGCGAAAAGGAAAGAAACATAGGCAAATACGGGCACAAGCACACACACCCCACCGGGCAGACATCTCTGATGATGGGACCAAGTTCCTCGAACAGTTGGCGTTTTACATGTTGGTGCGGTAACCTCCTGACAGGCAACAGCCCTCTCTCTTTTCTCCAGCCTCTCCTCCCTCCCAGTGGGGGTGTTACTCATCCCTAGAGCCAAGTAGCGAGCAAGCAATAAACAGAGCCTTCAGACGAGAGCCGAGTGTCAAATAGCACCACCAAGTTGTGCACATTCACATATACATGTGAACCCACACAAACGAGCCAACACAAACGTAACCGTAGGTTACGGTGACTAGGGCACTCATCTTGTCTATCCATTATTCCACCCTTGCTTAACCATTACCGACACCTGGTCAGCAGTGGCGACGTTGTCATAGCAGTAATTGTGGTGTAACTCGATGACCATTTGGAGAGACATTAGTAAGCATATTTGGGTTTCGTAAAAATCAACAAAGTCTTTCCTTGCGACACCTCATTGCGTTTAAAATTATTCCGTGTGTTTTGACATCTTTAACCGAGAAGATGGATACGAGTTTTTAATGGCCCATCAGGAATTCATATTTCCATGGTCCAGCAAAGTAGCACAGTGGGAAGGCCCAGATGACCAAACATTAACATTGTGAATGCAATTGAGCACATGCTTTCAATATCCAAATCATCTTACGATCCGTGCAAGCCAAGCAAGTCGATTCACTGAAGTTGGAATCCGCGTTTTAGAAGAAAGTGAATTTAAGCAAGACTGTCATCAAACATAGACGAGATCATAAGACAATCGGCAATGCACGCTCCTATTGTCTCTTTTCCAACACAAGAAAAACAGAAAAACGAACTGACAAAGCACTGAAATGGAAAGGGGCAAATTCATAAGTGCATGCTACCAGTAACTCGTCCAGTTTCCAAACTATGTGTGGCTGTTCAAGTTTTCTTTGCCCTTAATCCGTCTCACTAAAACATCTATGACGGAACTGTACATACCACGAGAGCCTCAATTAGCTAAGAGGAATGCACTCTTAATTGCATAGCACTTTCGTGGATTTATTACTTCTAGCAGTAGCAAATGGAAGGTAATGAAGCACTCTCTCTTCATAATGTCATGATGTCATTTAGATTGCGCGATGTTGGAAATGATTGTATTTTGGACGGAGATGGTGGGCAATGACTCAACTTTTCTCAACCTGAACTGATTAATTATTCAAGACATCTGATTCGTGCAAGACCATGGAAATAGCTTACCTGGGGACATGCTCCAGTGATTTGCTCGTGACTGTGGTAGTGGGGGGCGAGGGTGGACGCACTTGGTGGTAAATATGTTGGGTTTCCATTTGACTATAGAGAAGGATAATAAACGTAAGCAGAGCCACCGGATGTGGTGGATTCACAAACATCTCGAATGCAATGACAGTTTGATCTCCGGACTCTTATTGAGCGTATCTTACCGCGCCTGAGTTTGGACAACGCAGAAAAAAGGTGAGATTTTGTGAAAACGACCCACTTATAGAGTTGTCGAAATTGTCTCATACGGAAACCGCAAGGAAAGCTGACTTGACTACTATGATATGTGCTGTTTTTGAAATAAACACGAGCCACGCTGTTGAGGGGAGGCAGGAAGGCGCAGCTGGATTCATGAATAATCCAGCCAAAACAGATAAATCAGCAGTTGTGATACCGTATGTGGAATGAACGCTGACGGGTCTTCGGTGCTTGATGTATTAGTGTGGGGACGAGGATGGGGTGTATTGACATGGAAGTGAAGCGGGAGGGGGGGAGGGGAAAGGGGAGGTGAGGAGTGAAGCTGGAGACTTTGGTGTCAGATGAGTGTGAGTGTGGCTCGATCGGCGTTCAAAGGCAATGCAAGAGAGAGGAACACAAATTATTTACAGCATCCTTCTGAATAATTAACTAGTTGCCAGAGGATAAGGTGGAGATTAATTTGTGGCAACATGAGTCAATCGTACCTCATTTCTAGACAAACATTGTGAATTAGCCACCTTAGAAGTCAGGTCATTTTGTCAAATCCCTGCGAAGGTGGGTTCGATGATTCTTATGATTTCCGGATGTTCCCACACTTATTCACGTAAACAACCAACGTCTGGTAAGAATTGTCCCTTGGGATGCGTAGTCGCGTTTCACCATTCAGCAAACCCAAGAAGCTGATGCGATTCATAAAGATGAGTCACCTGCATCGAGCATACAAGTTTTCGCCGCCGCAATTAGACTAAATCAAATTTTTGACTTCTTCGACACCAATAAGGCAAGCA